GTTCATATCGTTTCTAATATGATTGCTGACATGAAAAATAGTGTAGTGATTAGTATTGTTGCATAGCTTCATGCTTTGTTCTAGCCTTTAGTTGAATAAATTATTTTACTTCTCCCAAGCATTGTTTAAAGTAGTTTATTGATCGATCTCAAACCATCACCTTTTCCGGAGCACCGATCTTGCCCCTAAATGCCCTGGTACGGCCGAAAGTGAGGAGGGGCCGCCCTTCCTTTCGAAATGCTCTCACACGGCCACGCGTATACAGTCTCTGCCACGGAAGTCCTACTCACTGCCTTCTCGTGGCGGTGGTGTTGTTTACGAAATTGAGTGGACGGAAAGCAAATGTCCGGCGCTTTAACCGGGTCGGTGGGCACGGAAAGTTCACCTAGGAGAGTTGGGAAACCCTGATTTCAAACCAATGGTGCACATATGCTGGCTCCAGTATTCTGAGGGAACAAATGGCGTAAGAATTAATCGTTGGTCACCGGCTACCATGCGACTGCATCTCCTCACGATGCTCCATTGCCTTGTGGATCAGATCTTTAGGTCAAAGGCTCCGGGTGTGGCCCCCTAAGAAAACCACCTGCTTCAGTTTGGGCACCTCGGCAGTATCACAGCCCTCACACAAATCGAATGAGATTTGTGTGGCGCATATGTATCTGGTGCCCCTTTGTACCAATATTTATGTGTTTAAATAATAATCTGGAGCCCCCTACGTTGATATGTCGACGTTAAAACTATTTTATGTTCTCTTTTTACTGAAATACTAGTAGGACAATACAAGACTATAATGTTGGTATGATGTCCAAGTTACTATTTGTCTCTGGAGATAGAAATCGTGATTCCAATGAATCTATGATGGAATCATCCGATATACCAAATAATGGATTTTATAGTCTAATGATAGTTAATCATGAATCAAGCTGACAGGTTATCTCCCAACTGACACTATATTTTATTCATCAGCTGTATGTTCCTCACTCATCCTGTTAGTCTGTCAAAATACTTTGTAGATCAGTTAGTGTCCACTAAACCATAAGTCGTTTAGGCAATCGATACTGGCAAAATATCTGACAGCATAACTTACTTTTCGTGCTGAACTTTCCGTACCTAATTATAATTTCCTTATCTATCTTTATGATTTATCAGTTTCCCTAACTGAAATTTTTTTCCATACCTATGTTTATTCTGCCTCACTGTTACCATGTTTAACAGAAGTTTATTATCACTATTATGGTCATTATTATCATCCTGGAAAGTAAGTGTATAAGTATTTGCAATTTTAAAACATTGAAAAGGAATTTTCCATAAAGAGAACTCTTCGCTAAAGGAATCTTATTTAGCCATAACTTATCACCATAGGAACAAGTTCGCTTTAACGATTATTAACATGTTCAGACAGTTTCACTTAACACTCAGGATAAACATTTCAGAATTATCATCTATTCACTTATTATCAATTGAGTAGGAAAATATTTGCCAGAAAACGTTCTACTTTTCAACCGAAATCATATATTTACAATGAATGATACAGCTTGATTTCACCTCGCAACGTAAATGAATGAGATTTAGAAAGTGAAATAAATTGCTAGGAAACGGGTACTAGGTAAGGATGGAAAATCGATTGATAAAGTAGTGAAACTTCATCAGTTGAGATGACTGGGACACGTGTTACGTATGCCCAACCACCGACTGCCCCGACGTGCAATGTTTTATGGTGTAGGAGTAGGTTGGAAGAAATCTAGGGTCGGCCAGACTAAAACGTGGCACAAATCCATGAAGTCACTCATTGAAAAGTGGACTGAGCCATGTTGGTAGGTGTAGACTACCTGGTTGGGATCCGAGAGATGATAGCAATCGATGGTTAGAGACCTTGAATGACATGGCTCAAAATCGTTTGCAATGGCGAAGGTGCATCCACTCTTTGTGTTCTTCCAAATTCTAATCTTCTGAATTCTTCATGTCTCTATCTTTTTTCTCTTTCCAAATTTATTTCACCAGATTATACTTTGTGAATAGCATCTTTAAACCGTAATCTTTCGGATTAATGCTTATACTCTTACTACTTCTACCATTATGGGATTTGAATCAACAACTTCATCTCTGTGCTAATGTGGTATGGCAACTGGAACTGATGCTCGTACTTACGTACGAAGTTCTACGTTGTGACTGACTGAGGAAAATATTTGCCTGAAAACGTTCTATTTTTCAACGGAAATCATATATTTACCGTGAATGATACAGATTGATTTCACCTCGCAACGTAAATGAATGAGATTGAGAAAGTGAAATAAGAAGACGGTAGCATCCGTATGAACTAATATGTTTTATTAATATAACAGTAACCGTATAACCATTTTAGTTTGGAGTAGTTTTTTCATGTTCCATGTTATAACGGCATGAACACGAGATATTCCAATTATCCAAACCTCAAAAATGAACCTGAAAGTAAGCAATCAAGAAAGAAAGATTTAGGTAATTTGAAACAAGGGAACGGAGATTCAATATAAATAAAGACATTCAGACAGGTTAACTCACTTGTTCCATCATCAATCATTTCAGGTTCGGCTAATTCGACCATCTTAAGGTGAATGTGACTTATCAAGGCACAGATCACAATAATTTTGATCATAAGAGATTTTTGTGCTTGAATAAAATTCATGGCCACAGTGGTAAGCTGAATATTGGAACTTACAACTCCATATTTATAGACCACAGTTGTAGTTGAGTGTATATAGTTTTGGCCAATGAAAACAACTTGATAGAACACTTTGAATTTTATGCAATGTATGTTGGCCAATATCGTTTAGCTAACCAACTGACTGAATCTATAAGTAGTAATATGTCATTTCAACATAGCACTGACATTTACTGAAGTCACTTACACTCTCAATAGGACAAATTGTCCATCATTTATGATATGTAAGATTGAGAGAAATGGACATGTATTACGTTTACATGATTGAGGATTTGGATTATTGATAAGTTTGGTGAAATACTATATTGTTCGTAACTGTGCGAGGAAATTCGTCTTGAAATTCGATTATCCATAATCTCAAATGTGTTTTTCATCGTATTCTAGAGATTTTCTTGTACATGTCGATCTAACGTAAGGTATATTTACGCCCCCAAATACTCTGGTACGTCCGAGGGTGAGGAGAGTCCACTATCCTTCTCTAAATGCTCTCATATGACCATGCTTACACAGCCACTGTCAGGGATTTTCTTCTACATGTCGATTTACATTGCATAATGTTTTAAAATTATGAAACTGTAGCGATGTGCTATGAAATAGCTCATGGTTACTTGTGTATAATGTACCTACGCGGTTGTCAATCAATGAATTGTTTATTTTAACTTCTCTTCATCTACGTTCATATAGTCAGTTTGAGATACTTGTTCACAGAAAGCAGTATGTTTCAATGACTAGTAAATTAACCAGTAGCTAATAAATTAGTCAGTGGAGTTCAACCACGTCTGTTGTGAGATAACAACTCACTGATGGCAATTGGTGAACGGTTGCTCAAACTTCGTGAATTGGTTGAAGTTAGACATTAACACCATGAATGCCGGCTCAGTGGTGTATCGGTTAAGTGCTCTGACGCGAGACTGGTAGTTCCTGGGTTCGAATCTTCGCGAGTCGAGGTCGTGGATGCGCACTGCTGAGGAGTCCCATAATAGGACGAAACGGCCGTCCAGTGCTTCCAGGTTTTCCCTGGCGGTCTAGCTTCAATTGACTCATGATTTCAACTATGCAAATACTGAAATCTCCACAAAAAAAACCCTTCAAATAAGTCATTATTGTCCCTGGCTTAATGAATTGCAAGCATAATTTATTTTATTTTGATATACTTGTATATTGAATATGGACATTGTTGCATCCTCCTTAAGCACAAAGCACTCTGTTAATGTAGTAAATTAATATATCTCTTTAATTTAAATAAAAATATATGATTTATTAATCTAGATGTAGTACACAACCACCCACTGAGTTACCTAACACCTCTGTTCAAAGTATAATTTCTTTTCAAATCTCTGTTCAACATCTATTGTACTTTTATGGTTATGGCTTTGTTTGTTTTCCGAAATTCCCGTTGCTAATTATTATATTCTTAGCTTATATGATTATTGTGAATACGATAACCAAATTTAGATACGCGGACCTATACAACCAACGAATGATGCATACACTTGAACGAACAGTCTACAGTTCCGCTTGATCCTTTCCCACGCTTGTTAAGTCCAGTACACCAATCTCAACTTCCGCGATATGAATCATATATTTCAAACATACCTGGTTTATATACAAGCAAAATCAGACTACATCATACCATAAAATAACTATTGTATAAGATCAAGCCCAAAGTGGCTGTGATTGTGGCCGTTACTAATACATTGAGAATATCTCAGGAATAGTAAATCCTATGGTAATAGTCAATACATTAAATAAAAGCTTATAATGAAAGGAATATGAATATACACTCAATATACTTGCTTAATGGTTATACTATAAGAATATACGTATGATATTAGGTCATAAATAAATCCCAACAGGTACTATTCATTATTCTTACCGGGATATAACACTTTTGTAGAATAGATATTATCATTTAAAGGCGTGAGTCAATTGAAGCTAGACCGCCAGGGAAAACCTGGAAGCACTGGACGGCCGTTTCGTTCTATTATGGGACTCCTCAGCAGTGTCCATCCACGACCTCGACTCGCGAGATTTGAACCCAGGAGCTAGCAGTCTCGCGCCAGAACACTTAACTGATAGACCACTGAGCCAGCCGGAATCCAACGGTGTTAATGTCTTACTTCAACTAATCCACGAAGTTGATCAATCGTTCACCAATTTTCTTCAGTGAGTTGTTATCTCACAACAGACGTGGTTTGAACTCCACAAAAACCCACTTCGAATAGATATTACTTACTTCAATTCAGTAAATGAAATATCATTTTAAATCTTTATTGTTTCTTCGAATTAAATAACTTTTCAGATGTATAATATGTATGTGTGAATATGAAGAAGGTGAAGAACTTCGTTATCTTCCATGTTTACATACATATCATCGTGTATGTATTGATGATTGGTTAATGCGTGCATTAACATGTCCTTCATGTTTAGAAGAGATACGTCCTAATTCACCAGTAAAAGTTCGTTCTAATATTAATAGTCAAAATACTACTACTACTAATAATAATAGTAATAATGAATCATCAGAGAATAATAATAATGTTGTATCACAAAGAAATGAAAATCCAGTGCCTACTTCATGTCATCAACAACCAACCCATGAATATAATAGAAGAACTAGTATTACTGAACGACGTTCTAGAAATTTACAATCATCAAATGTATATACAAATTCAGAAGCTATACAACGTTCAATTCTGGAACGGTTCAAAAGTAATAATAATAATAACAACGATAATAATGGTACTACTGTTGTCGGTGATCTATCCGATCGTAATTATAATTTATCTCATACTAGTAGATATCGTCATCATCATCAGCAGCAGCCTCAACAACATCGACGTACACGATCTATTGGTCCTAGTAGAAGATCAAATTCTATGAATATATTTAATGTAACAATGCCTTATGGTTATCGTCGTGGTAATAGTGTCACAGCAATTGATATGCTTAATTCTATTGTACAAACAAATGATGATCATTCATATTCAATAAATAATAATTAATGAAATTTAACTATGAACTTTCCAGGTTAATGTATTCCTTTTTTTATTCTTCTTCTTCTCAATTATCGAAACAATACGAATGGATTAATATTCTAAATAAATTTAAGGTTAGTGTTTATTTCTATTGTTACTATTAAGTTCATTTTCAAAGTGTATAGTATATAGTTGGTGGTTAGCAGTAGAATATAGGATGCGTGTTTCGTCTTATTGAGGACAAGTCAGATGGATGTACCTACATTTCAGAGTTGACGTTCACTTCGAAACTTGAATTCAGTACACTTCGCTTTAAACGTTATCGCATTATACACTTTGCTACTGAATCCAGATGACCACAGGCTTGTTCGATGGTGTGGATTTCTATATATATGTATTGGTTGTTTGGATCTTTTCATTAATGTTTACGATTGCGATTGATCAGTTTCTTTACACATATGTGCATCCTGTGAGAATTGACTTGATATTGTTATTAAGTCACAAACATTTTTAATAAAAGAGGATTGGAAACAACCAATATAAATAGATTAGACTACATTCCATTTCCCAAGATAGTCGGCTATCTAGAGTGAGTAGCTAAGTGGATAATGCGGTTATGTTTGAGGTGAACGATACTAGATTCGAGTCCTGGAGTGAACATTAATCTTGGGATGCTAGTACATGAGTTTCGAATTGAGTGAAATAACTGTCCATAATTCCACTGCTAACCACCATCCATTTCTGTTTAAAATGCTTGTGACTTAATAGTCATGTCGAGGCAGTCCTCGCAGGATGCATATATGGGAGGACAGACTGATCAATTGCAGCCGTAATCGTCAATGAGAAGATCCAAACGACCAAGATAATATTAAGTGTGTAATATATATAGTGTAAAGGTGATAATTTTTGACGATTAAAAGGAATTTTGAATTGGAACTATTGGAATACTAATTTTTTTTCTGTGTCAACCGATTAACAGTAATTGTTAATGTTCGTACTGCCATTTTCCTTTAGGGTATTACTCAACGCATTTGTATCTGCTCGCCAAATGAATTATAAATAAACATTTAGCCAAGGAAATATAGTATAAGTAGGTTGTAGCTGTTAGCATAAAGTCTCTGTTTATTAGTCTACAATTTAGAGATGATTTATCAAAAACGAAATGCCAATGTTAAAATTTCACAGAGCAATTCAAAAAACCTGTAATTCAGGATAACTACAATTAATATTTTCTACACATCCTATAGTTACTCAGAGACTGTGATGTATAATTTGTCTAGTCTACCCACTTTTTTTCTGTACCTATCAATTCAACTGCTCTTGTGGAGCAGTCAGTTACAACGTAGAACTTCGTACGTACGTACATCAGTTCGAGTTGCCATACCACATTAGCACGGAGATGAAGTTGTTGATTCAAATCCCATATTGGTAGAAGTAGTAATAGTATAAGTATTATGTGAAGCAAGTCATGTTGGAACAAGTCCCAAGAATTTTTATTTTCGTGCTCTTGAGCACTTCTCAGTGTGGCTAAGTAAAGTCATAGTAGGACGGCAAGGAGCTTGATTCTACCTCATCCAGTACAATTGGGCCATAAAGCCAACATGGCCCAAACTTTTAGAATAATATGTTGCCTTGACAGCTATTTCTTTAAAGCTATCAGAATAAGAATAGACAATGTGAATAATTACTGTTCTCTCTCTTCCTCCATACACTAACTTCTTCGGTATATCGTCACAATATTGGTAAAGTGTTACGGAAAGAGCTGAATTTTCATTTCCTATTCTTATACATAATAAATAATGATGAACTCAGATTGTAGCATCAAAGTTTTGACATTTTTAACAGGATTCCTTTTTGTCAACTATATGATTTTCTGCAATTAAAAATACACGAATATACATCATCTAAGAACATAATGACAGGTGATCGGCTTATTTATTTACTTATTTAATCACATAAATATTGGTACAAGGAAGCACCAGATATATATGCGCCACACAAATCTCATTTGATTTGTGTGAGGGCTGTGATACTGCCGAGGTGCCCAAACCGAAGCAGGTGGTTTTCTTAGGGGGCCACACCCGGAGCCTTTGACCTAAAGATCTGATCCACAAGGCAGTGGAGGATCGTGAGGAGATGCAGTTCCATCGTAGCCGGTGACCAACAATTGATTCATACGCCATTTGTTCCATCAGTATACTGGAGCCCATGTGCACCATTGGTTTGTAATCAGGATTTTCCAACTCTCCTAGATGGACTTTCCGTGTCCACCAAAGCGCCGGACATTCGCTTTCCGTCCTCTCACTTTCGTGAACAACACCGCCACGAGAAGACAGTGAGTAGGACTTCCCTGGAAGAGGCTATATACGCGTGGCCATGTGAGAGCATTTGGCGATTGGCTTATGTTGGTTGTATTCGATACAAACTAATCACAGTTGTAATACTGTTCAGCATTACGAACCGATGACCCTTCCTGGAATGGAACTCAAGACCTTCATATTTCTTGGTGAACATTTAACCATTAGAACCACTTAATCTACTTTTCCTGTTACGAACTCATCTTTAATCTATTCGTTTTATAGCACGATCGTCATCCAATAACATCATGACAACTGTTTCATCCCAGATATATTATAGGTGTGCCATACTAAAAAGCCTCATCCCAAGGTGAAAAATTTGTCTAGTACATCTTGGTTTGTAATGGTACTACATCTACAATCAATCTATCGAATACAACCTGCATATACTACTAGGTGTAAATAAGTTTTCTGCATTACTGTTACTCTTTAAATTGACTTAGTATTGTTTGTTTGGATCTTCCCATTGATGTTTGTAGGACTGCAACTGGTCAGTCTCTAATTGGCATATGTGCATACTGTACGTATTGCCTCGATATAGCCTAAATTCACAAGCATGGTAAGCAAAGATGGATAGTGGCTAGCAGTGGAAGATCCAAACAAACAATACTAAGTAAATTTCAACTTCACCCCATTGCACAAGCAAGTGACTATCAGGACTCAGTGGCCGAATGGATAACGCGATGGCGTTTGAAGCGAAATGTACTTGGTTCGAGTCCCAGAGTGAACATCAACTCTGAGATACATATACATCCAACTGACGAGTCCCAAATAGGACGAAACGCGCCTTGTCCTGGATTCCACTGCTAGCCACTATCCATTTTTGCTTACTGTTATTCTTTGTTTGTTTTGTTTTATTAAATAAAACTATTGACATGTGATTTACCTACTTTTTTTTTTTAAAAACTGCTAATCATAAATTTATAAATTCTTTTCTTTCTTCTAGTATGAATCACGTTCCTAAACCATTGAATAACTACTAGTTATTGGATAATCTACATATATATATATATATATATATATATATATATATGTATAGTTTTAATCTAATTCAACTTAACTAGTCCTTCATTTCCTTCAATTTGTACAGTTATCATATCTATCTAATAAAAACACACATTGGAAACTAATCATTTGTTTGCTTGATCGCTTTTTCTGTTTCCCTTCTTCATCCATCCAACCATCCACCCACCCACGAATATTTATTCATTATCAGTAACAAAAATTAGCAGCAATAACATATTCATTCAAAATTGGCTTTCAATTTGTTATTTTATGCTTAGTTTTTTTGTGTAAACCTTTTTATTATGATTATGATTCAAACACTTTAGTAACAATCGATTGGTGGTGGTACTGATGATTCTTTTTTTTTGTATTTTGGCAACAACAACAAAAAATGGCTTTATTTTTATCCAAAATCATAATTTTTTTCATGACCAATATTACTTGTTATTATGATTGTTGTATGACTTGTTCCCCCTCTTCTTCTTTTTTTTTGTCAAATGATTTTGAATATGTTGTAAGCTTTTCAATATATTCATAGTATGTGTTTCTATGTATCTGTTACCGGTGTATATGTATATATATATATATAGGGGGGTTAAGTGTTTGTACGTTCTATTCAACACTATTCACTGCCTATGATTAAAGCCATACACAACTGTTATGGTTGTTCTATTTACCCTTATTTCTTTCATAAAAGTCTAGTCAACTTTTGTAAACCTATCACGATTTCGTACATTTTAAAACAATAGACTTATTTCTTATTTTGTTTGTTTTTTCGCTCTTTTACAACTTGTATTTGTTTTAGCTTGTTTGATCATTCATTATTCAACATCCTATTTACAAATTACATCATTTTCTTTCTTTATGTGATTGCATACAGCCCCCCCCCCAACACAAGCACACACAAACACTAAGCTGTATGTAAATTATGAATTGTTTTTATACATATTATGAATGTATTCAATGTTTCTGATGTAGGTTTGTTCTCTGAGCTGGATAGTTTGGTCGTGGAGCTTTCATCGTCCTTCTGAACGACATCAACAGAAGCTCCACGACCAAACCATCCAGCTCAGAGAACAAACCTACATCAAAATCATCCACTTGAGCTACAAATCTTCTCCATTATTCAATGTTTCATTTGTGTATGTATCAGACAGATTGTTGGATGCCCCCCTTTTTTGTATGGTAAATAACCCCCCTTTTTTGTTTTGATATATATACTTACTTATCTCTTTATGTGTACAGATTTTCAGCAGCTGTGTTAAATTTTAGATATTCTAACTTATTAACTTGGTTGTTATGATGGTATGTTTTTAATGTTCTTTCCTCTTTCTCGCTCACACACCCTCTTCCTCCCCTATCTATCTGTTGCTAAGTATCCTACATTTTTGTGCTATTTTCTATTGCTTATGGAATAAGTTGCTTTTTTGTTTTTATTTCAATTCTATCAACGAATGAATGTTTCTTATCATTCTATTCTTGTTTATTTATGTTTATGTTCTATTCTATTTTCATTTGATTTTTAAATGGTTATATAACTGAGAGCTAACACCTTTTACTCAATAGGGAGAATGAAGCAAACTAAGAAAGATCATAAGATGAAATACTTATTATGAACTCATATGTTGTTCAAATGAATCAGATCTGTATAATGCTGTTTACCCCGGTTTTTCTTATGCAAAAGAACGAAAGAAATATTTTCTCATAACTTTCTCTGCGAACTGTGTTTTTTT